TATATATATATATATATATATATAATATATATATATATATAGCTAGATTGTGTTCCTTTGATTTCCTACCCAAAATGACAATGCAAATAAACATCCCAACAAAAATCTCAGCGGCTAATGCACGTCTATTAATTTATAAGAGTTCTCAGTCTTGCAGTCACATTATAGCATCCTTGATTTATGCTTGTGTCTCAAGGTTCCAGCCATCCTCTTCTATTTCAATATCATCTTTCTGTCACTCCCATCAACAGATCTGCTCTTTGAGTGATGTGTCACAGTTATACACTGCCGATTGATGCAGTCGCATCTGTTTTTGTTATGAAGTGCTCTAGAATATGCGCTTCACATGAATTGATTTACTTCAAGTGCAATTTGTTAAACTATCAAAATTGGTTGTTCATACGTGGGGATCTGACACAGTCATGCAAAGTGTTTGCATGTATAAATATAAATGCTGTTTTGATATAATGGGAAAATACTTTTGAAGCAATGAATAACCTACAGTATAATTGATCCTGATGTTTAAATGAAATGAAAAAAAATGATGAAAAAATAACAGAATACAGGTTTAGAACATGCAGGTGAATGAACAGTTATTTTAATTTGAAATTTGGAAATACGAATTTTATTTTATTTATTAAGCAGTTTCTTGAATCAGAATATATAAATGTTTATTTTACAGGTAAAAAAAAAAAGCACAAAATGAGGTCTGAAAAAAATATCTACATTCTCACAAATGAAGGGAAAAATAGTTTTTTAGTATGTCAGCATTAACTTTGAAAGAAGAAGTAAAAGTTCTCTACTTTATGTTACAGTAAGCTGATAACGTTCCGGGAAGCTCAAAATGTGTTCTTGAAGACTTCATGGCTGATATATATGACTTTACTTAAAATAACTTGGCGAGGGGGAAAAAAACAACAACTTGAGAAATCTGCACAGATACTGTTGTGCATTGGAATTTTAAAGCACTCTTTCTCTGCAGAAGTTTCTGCTATGTATATAAACATTGGTTATTATAAGAGCTGATTTGGTTAGTGTGCGGTTTGGAGACATCTGGTTGTTTAATTTCTAATCACTGTCATCCTTAATTAAAACTTTGACATAGTCCAGAAAACAGGCCACATTTCTTCATTAGCAAATTGGTGAAGAATCTGTTGGTCATCAGCAACATTTTCTTCTTAAGCTTCCTTTTCCCATCCTTATAATTCTTGAACTCTAGTATGTTAAATAATTGCCTTCTGAGTAATGATTCTTAGAATTGCCAAGGACTTAATTAGCTAAGATTTTAGATTTAAGGATATTTAGTCAAACTTAATTTGTAGCCAGCAACATAGGGGATTGGAAAGTGCAATTACCTTTTCGTCAAAAGCTTGAATGCATGTTTAACCAAACAATAAGAATATATGTTCATATATGTTTTTTATTTAATCCACATTGCATTTAGTGTTTTGCTGATCGATTGAATGTCTAATAATTAAGGTTAATTACTAAAACATCTTTTCCCCCCACAGTGTCTCTGTGCACCAGGATGGACAGGGGAGTTTTGTCAGTACTTGGATAACCCATGCTTAGTCTATCCAAACAGATGCTTGAACGGAGCTACTTGCATCAGTATGAGTCAGCCAACTGCACCCCCACACTATATGTGCACCTGTCTCCCTGGATACACAGGTTAAAAGAAAACTATATCAACAAACTCTGGAATATGTTATCCTGATTTATGTTTGAGTTTGCATAGAGTTTGGAAGCAGAAGCTTTTTAAAGCCACACTCAGATTGTTTCTTCTACAGTAGGATTGGAGAGGAGAATTATTGTCACGTTTTCATACCATATCAGAGATTGCATAGAACAAAAATTGTTTTCTTATATATCAGCTATATCCGTGGAATTATGAATATAGAATATAAAATATATCTGCCAGCCACCATATGTTATTCTGGTGACATTTTTGAAGAAGTTACATGACACTTAGACTTGAGGACTTCAGGACTGAATTTAAAGTCAATCTGAATCCCCAAAAAATGACTGAATTTGAAGCAAAGAAGCAAACTGGATACAGAATTAGATTTTGAATGAAAGAAAAATTCTTGAAAAAATATAATTCATATTTTAGGTTAATTTCACAGAATCCTCTACTTTACCCAAACCTCTTTAAGATAGACCCTAGTATTGATGTATAACCAGGGCATTTATATGTTCATGTCAATATTTATTTTTAAATATAGTTTTTTTGTGAACATTTAGTGGAATTGGTTGACAATTTAGATGCATGTTGTTGTTGTTTTTTCTGACAGTATTGAACTTTCTTATCCATAAAGAGGAAAATATTCTACCTATCACAGAAAAAAAAGTCATATTTAGTCAATGATGTAATTATGTTTTGTTACAAAATTTGTGTTAGGCCCATCCTTGAAATTGCAGTTCAGTAAATTACTCTTCTTGTCATTCAGCATCCTGTGGGGCACGGCCATTTCTATTCAAATTCCACCTCACGAATTTGAAAAGAAGCCAGTTCTGAATTTTTCCCTAGCCTGAATGACACAGTTTCATGTCCAACATCTATATCATCCGCTGTAATGTGACTCAGAGTGTGTGTTCCACCGAGACAAGTCCCGCTGCCCTGAGGCATCTCTTTACCGTAACTCATCTTTGCACATTGCCCTCCTAACTGGATTATTCTATAATTTGTTTCATCATGCCTGCTAAATGAAGGGCAAATAGAGGTTAGAGAACACTTAATCGGTAAATCTAACTGGGAAAGCAAGATCTTTCATTAGCTTGGCCACCAGCGCATGAGCACAGAATGAACTATTTGCCTAAACAACCCAGAAACAAATAAACAAGCAAGACAAATGATTTACTGGATTTCATCTATCGTGACGTGTTGATCTCAGTGGCAGGCATTGCGGTTCAATGGTTTTGCGCAGGAAAATGTGACGTAGTCTTTTATAGGCACTTTACATGAATTATAGATCATCTACATTTCATGACACCATAAACCGTAACATGTTATGAAGCCGTATTATTTGAAAAATGCCGTCCCTGAGCGATTTCTTTCAGTACCACGCAGCAGATCTTGTATTTTCAGTGGGATAATCGCCAGTGCTTCTGTGTCCTTGTTATCACCTCTCAGTTTCCTTGATGGCTCTATTTCCCATCTAAGCAGATGAAGAAATCTATCTTTCCACATCCCAAGTGTCAGCAACAAGAGGCACCTGACAATTTCTGCCTCTGTGAGCTGTATAATGGATTAGAATACTATTTGGAGAAAACATGTCACAGCTCAAACCTCAATGTTTTATTTAGATATCTCGATGATGCTAACGATATCCCCATCGATTAATGACCCCAGAGACTTAAAAACGATCGTCCCTGTCCCATTTCTCACCACGGTATTGCCAGAAGGCCATTGTGAAATGTCAAGTGCTTTCATTATGATCTTCCCAGATTACTCTACTGTACCGAAACCTCTTCAAAATAGAGCCAAGCACTGATGTATAACCAGTGCATTTATATGTTGATATCAATATTTATTTTTTTTGTAAACAATGTGAGCATTTAGTGGTAATGGTTGACAAAATTTAAATCTATTTAGATGCATGTTGTTTTTTCTGACAATATTGAACATTGCAATCTGTAGAGAGGAAAACTTTCTACCTATCAGAAAAAAATAGGCATATTTAGTCCAAATTAATAGTGTAATTATGTTTTGTTACAAAATTTGTGTTAGGCCCATCCTTGAAATTGCAGTTCAGTAAATTACTCTTCTTGTCATTCAACATTCTGTGGGGCATGGCCAGTTCTATTCAAATTCCAACTCATGAATTTGAATAGGAGCCAGTTCAGAATTTTGCCCTAGCCTGAATAACACAGTTTCATGCCCAACATCTATATCATCCGCTGTAATGTGACTCAGAGTGTGTGTTCCACCGAGACAAGTCCCGCTGCCCTGAGGCATCTCTTTACCGTAACTCATCTTTGCACATTGCCCTCCTAACTGGATTATTCTGTAATTTGTTTCATCATGCCTGCTAAATGAAGGGCAAATAGAGGTTAGAGAACACTTAATCAGTAAATCTAACTGGGAAATCAAGATCTTTCATTAGCTTGGCCACCAGCGCATGAGCACAGAATGAACTATTTGCCTAAACAACCCAGAAACAAATAAACAAGCAAGACAAATGATTTACTGGATTTCATCTATCGTGACGTGTTGATCTCAGTGGCAGGCATTGCGGTTCAATGGTTTTGCGCAGGAAAATGTGACGTAGTCTTTTATAGGCACTTTACATGAATTATAGATCATCTACATTTCATGACACCATAAACCGTAACATGTTATGAAGCCGTATTATTTGAAAAATGCCTTCCCTGAGAGATTTCGTTTAGTACTACACAGTAGATCTCGTATTTTCAACGTGATAATCGCCAGTGCTTCTGTGTCCTTGTTATCACCTCTCAGTCTCCTTGATGGCTCTATTTCCCATCTTAGCAGATGAAGAAATCCATCTTTCCACATCCCAATTGTCAGCGACAAGAGGCACCTGACAATTTCAGCCTCTCTGTGAGCTGCATAATGGATTAGAATAGTATTAGGAGAAAACATGTCACAGCTCAAACCTCAATGTTTTATTTAGACATCTCGATGATGCTAACGATATCCCCATCGATTAATGACCCCAGAGACTTAAAAACGACCGTCCCTGTCCCATTTCTCACCATGGTATTGCCAGAAGGCCAATGTGAAATGTCAAGTGCTTTCATTATGATCTTCCCCCGAAAACGTCAGACGACATGTTGAGGGAAGATAATGTGTCTTCTCTTACAGCAGAGAAAAGCGTTGGTGAAGCAGATCTTGCACTGGATAAGACTTTCAAATCTTTTTTCTTTTTTTTTTCTACAGCTTGTCTTGCTTTTTCCATGTAAAGATTTGATTGATTTGGTTCCATGTTATGTTACTTGTTATGTAACTGTGTGGATGAACAACATTAATAGAGATCTGCCAGCAAGTTGGGAATATGACCTTCAGAACACTTCTTGGGTTGCTGCTGGATACTGACTGCTGTAAATATGAACACACAAAATCTGAGATTCAGTGCCATATACCCTATTTATGAAGTTGCCTGAGGTCAACCTAATTAGTAAAACTAGTAAGAAAAATAAATAAAAGAAATTTAAACGTTTTTTTATTATTTTTTTAATATTTTTTTTTCTATGGAACAACAAACTAGGATAATATTTTTGGTGTTTTATGCCTTTTTATTTCGATAGGACAGTATAGGCTGACAGGAAGCAAAATTAGGGAGAGAGAGGGATGGGATGGGAAAAGCTCCACAAGCTGGGACTCGAACTCAGGACATCCAAAGTGCAACAGCGCTACATGTCAGTGCGCTGCCCACAAGGCCATCAGCGCTGTCAAACTAGGATCATTTTTTACATAAAAATTTACGTCTGATTACATAAATCTTGTTTAACAAACAAACAAACAAACAAAAAAACATACAATTTGTTTTTGGAATATAGTGCATAAGTACTTTTTGAAGCTTGACAGCAGTATGAGCCAAATGTTTCCATGAAAAAAGCTATTTTAGTGCTATTTATACTATTATGTATGTGTTAATTAATTGAATTTTTTCAGTATTCATTTTAAAATGTGAGTTTTAGCTATTTTATTACATGCTTTTGTAGTTTTTTTTTTATTTTGCTAGCTTTATTGATTAGCATTGTTTTATTTTTATTTCAGTTTTAGTAGTCTTACTTATTATGTTAATTTTTATTTTAATAAAAAATAACCTTTATTTCAATGAACAAAAACCATCTATAATAGTTTTCATTTTAGTTACCAATAATTACCTAAAAATGCATGCAGGTTCAGAATGACATGAGGGTGAGTTGATGCCACTGATCTATATATAATGATCATTATATAGATCATATATAATGATCTATTATAGATCAGTGGTTGATGCAAATTTTCTTTGAGGGTGAACTATTTTTTTAGTCTGACATCCTTTTCCTGTGCCTCCTCATTTATTTTTCATTGCTTATTTTCCACATAAAAGTTGAGTCACACTTATATACTGTCCATCTCTGGCATTTCTCAAAGTTCCATATGTTGAATCGTTTTGTATACAGTCTGTCTGCATTAACTGTGACTCAGTAAATGGCAATCTGAACTGCTGCTAAATAGTTTCAGAATGTAAAACACGATTTGGCCTCTCTTCTCTGTGACGTGAACCAAACCGTGAGCCATAGGGGGGGAAAGTTTCCAAATTTGCTTCTAAATCCCAAATGTCAAAAGTGGAGTCAATATCTTCAGGGGAGACGGAGCGTAAAAGCTTAACTAACACTCCATTCACACCCCTGTCTTCCTGCAGGACGCTACTGTGAGGCTGAAGTAAATGGGTGTGATTCCAGTCCCTGTCAGCACCAGGGAACATGCACTGACTTTATTGGATACTACAGATGTGCCTGTCCTTCAGGTATGAGTTTCTCTTACTCCTGAGAATGTTTTTTTTTTTTTTTGACTGTGCCACAAATCCCCACCGTGCCAGCACCAGTGGCTCTGACTGACAGCTGAGCAAATCACTCCCATTCTCACACTGCCAGAGCTCATTAGTACTGCAGAATTGTGTCAATATTGGGTTATGAAATGCTCTTCCCATTTGAGGCCACTGCATTGATATGGTTCCCTCCCGTAATTGTTGGTTCTGCTCACTCTTTCTGAGGCATGATTTGCATTCACTGATGCAACCTGATGGCTCACCCTAGAGATTGGCAACTCACTGGCGGGGTTACAAGCATGCTTCTCTGCCAGCTGCTCCCTTCCGCTCGATGAGTAGACGACCCAGAGTCCCAAACGCCCCCTCCCTAAACCTGCCCACGCATGCTCGTCGCTCAGAGAAAGAGATACAATAGGGAAAATCATCTGAATGACTTCCTCATAAAAGGATTGAAGATGTTTTCTCTTTAAAAAATAAAAAAGCTAGACTGGGCTATTGTGAAATAGTGGACATAATTTAGCAAACATTATTGACTCAAAGTATGTCAAATTAAGTTGAATTGAGTGTCAAATAGAAAATACTTACCCATGTCTTTATATCTCACATTCCATTCCGAAAATGTAAGACTTTTTTGTCTGTGGGTCAGACAAATATATTTTGAAGAGTGTTGGTAAGCAAACAGTTTATGATACATTTCTCAAAATATCTTTAATGTTCCACAGAAGAAAAAAAGTCTTACAGGTTTGGAACAACATGAGGGAGAGAAAATTATGACAGAATTTGTGTGTGTGTGTGTGTGTGTGTGTGTGTGTGTGTTTAATGGTATTATAAATCAAGTTCCCTTTTTAATTGGAACATGTTTTTTTTTTGCTTTTTATTATTTAAAGGGGTCATGTGATGTTGCTAAAGAGAACATTATTTTTGTGTATTTGGTGTAATGAAATGTGTTTATGTGGTTTAAGGTTCAAAAAACACATTATTTTCCACATACTGTACATTATTGTTTCTCTTCTATGCCCCGCCTTTCTGAAACGCGTCGATTTTTACAGAGCTCATCGGTCTGAAAAGCGATGTGTGCTCTGATTGGCCAGCTATCCAGAGCCAAAAATTAATAAACAAAGCCAACCACCTAATAAATAATATGTGTCAGTACTGGGTCAATAGTATGTAACAAGCATTACTTTTATTTGTATCAATACTACAGCGAGAATAAAAGTTACGTCTTCTTTCTTTGCGTGAACATTTGGGCGGCGTTATGCAAATCTTCCCACATCGTGACGTAGACATGTGGGGGCTTGTTAGAATGAGCCGTTTTAGGTAGGCGTGGTTGACTCTTAACTTTTATAAAGAATATCTCTTTGGATTTGAAACTTTAGTCTTTGCAACTTTACAGATCTTCTTTATGCACCAAGAGCTTGTAACACTTCAAAGAGAAAGGAAAAATTTTAATCGCATCATATGACCCCTTTAATTGAATTATTACTTAGGTTGGTGTTGTTGTAAACAAAAGATTGCAAAATATTCAAAAAATAAAAACAACAGCTGGATGAAGCGCAGTAGAGTGGAACAGAATGTAGGGGTCTCAATGTTTTTCAAAGTTTCGTTTTTTTTTTTTATGAATGTGTAAATAGACCAAGAAATACAAATATTTGACAGTAGCATTAATTTATAAGTGTAGTCATTTTAAAACTCTTTCTAAAAGCCTGTTAAAAATATTAAAGCCAAAAAAGGACAAAAAATCTAAATAAATTCACTAGTTGACCTCTCTAATGGCTGTAGTCGACCATTCTAACCTTTCCTTAATTTTTATAAGTGTCATCTTCCTGCTTAAACATCTATGTGAATGAATTTGAAATTATTGGTTTTCATTATGTAAACCAAATGTAAGCAAGCCAGATTTTTTTTCTCTCTCTCTCTCTCCAAAAGCCTTTGAACAAACTAGCCTGGCCTCTTTCTGACCTTTACAGTTTTGTTCTTTTCACTTGGGCTGACTGGCTTTTGGGCTTTGAATAAGCTTTCAAAAATTGATTGCCGTTTTCTTTTACTTTCTTTTTCCAAGAAACAAAGAAGAAGAAAAAAAGAAAGATATTTGATTTCCAGCTTGTTTCATGTTCATTGATTGACCTTATTGATTGAGGCACAATGACATGAGGAGCATATGCAGTGCATTCTCAAAGGTATTAACAAGAGAGAAGGCGTTTCAATCTTGTTTAATCTTTTAAATTCTGGTTTTACACAAGGTTCTTTTAGTTCCCAGTCAAGGAAGCAGAGATAGTGAAGTGCAAGTGATTCTTCAGATTGGTTTGTGTTTCTTACCTACCTTTCCAGGATACACTGGGGTTGACTGTAAGGTTGATGTAAACGCCTGCACGCTTCCAAATGTCACCTGTCCCCCTGGAACGTTCTGTGTTGATTTACCAGGTGACCAGCTCCATATATGTCACACTCAATGCCCTCATTATCTACAGGTAGGTCAGAAGGGTTCAGCCACCACTAGCCCAACATAGTTGAAATGAAATAACTTTCATTGTCATGTTTTTAGGTGTTCTAAGTGTAAATTAGCATATCTGGTTTTATATGTGCATTAACACCATGGTTACAATAACACTAGCAAACGTAATAAGTAAATTTATTTACAAAATAACATATCCATTTATAACTGTATCCATCATTTACTGATAAATCAATGTCTCTGATCAGCCTTTAAAAATCGACAAAACCATGCTTTAATTTGTGAACTTTGACTTTAATATCATATAAATAGATATCAACTGTAGTAACAATAAACTCAAACATATACTTGTGTAAATACTCACAATATATTTTTTCTGGAAAACAAGATGGCTGCTGATAAGAAAATTCTCAAATCAAACCTAAATGACTTTGCTGATCAGTTGTGATGTGGCTTCCATTGAATGCAACATAGCCATTTGATTTGAAGCAAATCAGCAATATTACACCAACAAAGCAAGTAAACTACATTACATTAGGCCAATGACAAGACAGAAAACTAAAATTGAGTCAGATCAAGTATAAACAGTTCTTTAGAGTAATGACAAGGCATATGCATAAAGCATTTTTTCAGTGCATGGACTCATTCAAAATGCATACACCACCCTCTCCCACTTTCCACTTGAAAAGAGCAGGTTAAAAATTGTGTTCTTAGCACACAATTTTCTTTTGAAGATGTGAAGCTGTTTGCACACTTTGTCACTGAACTATATCACCAATGGCAAATTGCATGTCTCTTTTGAACATGCTTGATCAGTCGGATTTGTTTTACTTGTGTTGATTATCACCATTAACTTAAATGGCAATTAAAATGCATTAGCTTTCCTTCATTAACCAGCATGTTTTATTTAACACTGGGACCAAGCACGTCTGTTTACAAAAGACCAGAATTACCTTTACACACATATTTAAATGAAGGATTGTTCTGGAATAATGGTTGATTTTCATTTTGACAGCCATGTGCCAATGGAGGACATTGTGTTCTCAACAGCATCACCAGTTACAGTTGTGTTTGTGCACCTGGATGGACTGGGCTGACCTGCTTGGTCAACATAAATGAGTGTGTCCAGCACAGGTGTCAGAACGGAGACACCTGCATGGATGAGGTTGGTGGGTACAGGTGAGTCTGGGTGAATTCTTTTTTTTTTTCCCAGAGCTCTTTACGCAAGGTTTATTTAGAGTACAGCAAATGCTTTGCTTAGAAATTAAGTGGATTCAAATATGATTCTGTTGTTTTTTATACAAAGATATTTATAAACCAATTAAATGCATTTAAAGTGTCATTATAAATATTAGCATGAACTCAAATGAAAATAAAATAAATTAATAAATAAATGAAAATTCTGTAATTATTTACTCATGTTGGTAATTATTGGGACTCTTGTCGTCCCAAACCTGTATGCATTGTTTCTCTGCTGAACAAAAGCTAAAAAGATTCATTTTTTCCTATAGTACACAAACAGTTTGTTGTGACCATGATCTGTCAAGCTCTATAAAGGACACAAATAGACACCCTAAAAGTAGTTCATATGACTCTTTTTCAAGTCTTCTGAAGCCTTATACTGTAGCTTAAGCCTGATTGCTTAGTGATATGAAGAGGGCAAAATGTAGTCATTATTCGATGATAACCCTCACCTATGCCGCTGCTCTCAAATAAATATGGCAACTGCTGCTGGTTGAATGTCAATAGAATCGAACATAGATTTTTCTTGCAACCAAATATCATTGCAACAAAATACTGCCATAGGCCATACATTTGATTTCTATTCTGTAGTGGAGGTAAATGAAGATTTCATTAGCAAAAACCGATAAACGCCACTTTCAAAAAAATTAGTTGATTGCCGTGCATTATTCTCCACATATAGCGCGATCTGAACCCTAAACACGTTTTGTCAAAAAAGCCGGTTTTGTTCACTTTCAAGGCATCGCGAGTTCACGTTTTACTGCAGAAGCCGCCAAGTGCCCTTGATGTTTTTGAACAGAAGCCGATAAGTCAATTTTAGCGAATCAGCACGCTGTATTCAGGTCAGGTGACAAGGCTACTTGTTTCACTTTGAACGACGTGCTAGCTGAGAGGAGTTTCGTCAAAGCTAGCTGACAAAAAGTGATCGAGGATGGATAATTTCGACGAATTTGATGAACCTGTGATATCTTCTTAAGGGCAAAAAAGGAAAATAAAAGCTGAAACGTTTTCACGGAACCTTGCAAAAG